AATATGAAATATAGAGAGTTATATGTAGAGATGATGAAATGGATATTATATGCGGATACAAAAAGAATAAATAATAATGCGGCAATGAATAAAGATACTGAAATAGTATATGCGGAAATAAATGAATAAAGATATAAAATAAAGAGGGGAACAATTATAAGAATTTCTACGAAATTAGTACGAGAAATAAATAGTACAGGAAAAGAAGTAATGAAATTGGGAAAGTACTTGGAAATTTGATTCTGAAGTTGATATAATTAGTGAAAGATTTGTAGATTTTGTTTGGAGAAGTCTGTATTTTTCATAGAGTAAATTATTAAAAAAAAAAAAAATATTCAAGAGATATGCTTATTAATAAAAGTCAGTTTATTGTTATGTTAATATTAATAAAATGTTTAAGTTTATCGGTAAGAATTTAGATTTAGTAAGTGCTGATAGTTAGCACTGAACAAAATCCAAATTGGAGGGAAGTTGAAATGATTTCAATATGTCAAAGAGGATATAACTTAAAGGGATTTTTATATGAGTTTGTTGTTCATGAATTTCATGAAGCCATCACAATGTGGGGTCGACTCTGAAATAAAAGGGAGAAAAGATTAGTAAATTGCTAAATAAATTAATTTTGACTTACCTGGTATAGTGTTAATAATTTCTGAATAGTATAGTTGCCTAGTGTATAGGTGAATCGTCTAAACCTTAAAAGGAATAAAAAAGAAGAATTCTTAAAAAATTATTTAAACATAGAAATTTTAAAAATAAACGTCAGAAAAATAAACTGTCAAAAGTCTGTGGGAACTAAATTAATAGGGGTTTTGTTAAATAAATTACAATGATGTGGAGATGAAAAGAATAAAATATATTAGTATTGTTAAGTTTTATATCTGAATTTTTTTTTATAAATTCCCAAATTAGATGTGATTAAAGTGCTTATGAGAAATTAATGTGGTTTGACAAATATGTCAAAACAGGACAGTTTTATGGTTGAATAAAATAGAAGACGGAATGAAAAAAGAAAGGGGGTTGCTGTTAGCAACGAATAATTTTGGTGGTTGGTGCTAGCTATGGCGGTTAACAAGGAAGAATAGGTTGTTGGAGGCGACGAAAATTTTGGAGGAAGAGCCCTAAAAAGGTGGAATAGTCCGGGAGTGCTTTAAAATCGTTTAATTATAATTTAGTTTTTCCACATTTTCAAATAGAGATATCCAGAATTTGTTCCAGAGAGTAAGAGAAATTTTGACTTATAAATTATAATTGGAGTGCAGAAATGTCATTTAGATTGAAAAAGTAAAAATTCATGAATTAACTAATTGCGATAGGCCTTAAAAATTGAAATATTAATGATCATTAAAATAAAAATATAATAGTACGTACCTTTAACTTCCGAAGAGAGGATAGATATTCCAGTATCACCGATTATTTTGCGAGTAGTTAGTTTTCTTTAAAAAAAAAATCAGAACTGTTTGAAAGTGAGTTTGGATAATAATTTTGGGGATCATTTGAAATTTTGATTATATTTTAATGCTAGTTATAAGTCAGCGGCATAAAGTGTTCAGTTTTCTTTTCTTTATATTTCATTTAAACACTTTATAAAGTTGCAATAGTCATTTAGATTTAAGGTAATTGTAGAGAGTTTCCACATTTTGTAATCAAATTCTATTTTCACGACACATTAAGGTTTACACGATTCCTATTTTTGTAAATTTTTAAAGGCAACCCAAGTTGCAGACGAATTTTATTGTTTATATTAAATTTGTTCAATATTAATAAATAACGTGCTTCATTTGGGTTAATTTATCAAAAATATAAAGTAAATTTTGGTTTAATTTCTTTTTGAACTCTACCAGGAGACTACAGAGTTGACGTCACACAGTGACAGATTGCTGAGAACAAATAATTGAGCTAGCCGAGGTATAGTATATTAACAACGAACTACATACTTTTAAAATTCACTTCAATTCAATTAAAATTATATTTATTAACAATAAAACATAAAAATAATAAAAACAAAACAATTACAATATATATATATATATATATATATATATATATATATATATATATATATATATATATATATATATATATATATATATATATATAAATATATATATATTATATATATATATATATATAATTCTTTGGAGGGTAACTTTCGGGAAAGCGTCAAAACAAGGATCAGCTAGAGATGGTATAAGCCAGCTTGGTGTAGAACTTTATTCTAAATGTGAAATTTTCGGTGATATGTTGTCACCTTCATCAGCACCTAAATGGAAAACCTATTATAGTACAGTGGTGGAAATCAACATTTAAAAACCTACATTGAAAATGTTCAGTTGGTCCTAGTTGTAAAGAACACTGTCACAAACATGTTAAAAATATTAAAAAATACATTTAAAATTTTGAATAAAAACATTACAACACAAACACGGTAGTTTTTTCAAATACAAACACAACAAAAAGTCTAAAATTTACAACATACAAAAACTGCAAATAGAAAAGAAGAATTAATCTTCTTTTTTGATGAAATATTTCTGTCAACATCCGGGTGTCATATGTAACGAGGTTATAATTTTCACTTTTGCACCTCACACACCACCACATGGATACAAAAAGAAAGAGCCCTAGGCACCATAATAAGCAAGGAAATGAAGTCCCCTCTAAAGCACAGGTAGGAAGCCCACCAGCACAGCCTTTAGCCAACATATTAAGAATACTGGACACACTGCTAACTATGAAAATGTGCAAGTACTAAAGAGGGATGACAACCAATTTAAGAGAAACTTCATAGAAATGTGCTACATCCATAACTGCAGCTCTCCTATGAACTGTAAGAAAGATGTTGAAAACTTAAGTTGTATTTATTCCTTTCTACTTCAACAGGACTTGACAAGAAGTGACAAACTGGAAAATGTGGGGAACTTATCATGACATGCATAGATTACCTACCTGTGCTTTAGAGGGGACTTCATTTCCTTGCTTATTATGGTGCCTAGGGCTCTTTCTTTTTGTATCCATGTGGTGGTGTGTGAGGTGCAAAAGTGAAAATTATAACCTCGTTACATATGACACCCGGATGTTGACAGAAATATTTCATCAAAAAAGAAGATTAATTCTTCTTTTCTATTTGCAGTTTTTGTATGTTGTAAATTTTAGACTTTTTGTTGTGTTTGTATTTGAAAAACTACCGTGTTTGTGTTGTAATGTTTTTATTCAAAATTTTAAATGTATTTTTTAATATTTTTAACATGTTTGTGACAGTGTTCTTTACAACTAGGACCAACTGAACATTTTCAATGTAGGTTTTTAAATGTTGATTTCCACCACTGTACTATAATAGGTTTTCCATTTAGGTGCTGATGAAGGTGACAACATATCACCGAAAATTTCACATTTAGAATAAAGTTCTACACCAAGCTGGCTTATACCATCTCTAGCTGATCCTTGTTTTGACGCTTTCCCGAAAGTTACCCTCCAAAGAATTGTATTCTTAGCGTCGTTATACACACTCTATATATATATATATATATATATATATATATATATATATATATATATATATATATATATATATATATAATAAAATATATGAGTATAGGGTTTTTATCGCGGTTCTCAAAGAATTAGAATTAGAATTATTATGAAACATACATATATATCTAATATAAACAATATAAATATAAAACATTTTCTAAATTTGAAATTCTTACAATTATTAAATTATATTAACAAAATTTGGTACCTTTCTGTCACTGAACGCCTAAAGTTTTCCAAAATCAAAGTTATAATCACCACTAAATATCTTCTTAATCAGCTTTGGTTATCCTTGTGTTTGTGAAATTGCATATAAATATTATAATTTAAAATTCTTGTAATTTCCATATAATATAATAACTCTAACTGTATCTGACTTAATGAATTCTTCCAAGATAATCCTTTCTTCTTATTTAATTTAATTATAACTATCTTGAACTAACTTTCTTGATAAATCTAATTTAATGACTTAATTGTACCTGACTGACTGACTTCTTCTCACTTAATCCTTTTTTCTAACTTAATTTAACTTAATCGGTTCATGAATTCTTCTCACTTAATCAATTGTAACTGACTGACTGACTTAATGTAACTTAATTCTTAAATTCTTCTAACTAATTCACTTAATAATTGACTGTAACTGAATAATTGACTGTAACTTAAGGACTTCCTGTAACTTAATGATCTTCTAACTTTACTAACTTCACGAATCAACTGTAACTTACTTAATAATCGACTGTAACTGAATAATTGACTAACTTAATGACTTCCTGTAACTTAATCCTTCTTCTAACTTTACTATCTTCACGAATCAACTGTAACTTACCTAATATTCCCATGTAACCTACTTAATAATCCCCCCTTGCTTTAAATTACATCGTTTATATATCTTTTCATGGTTCCAGAATCATCGGGAAAGAAATCATGTTCTAAACTTTTCATCTCTTCCATAGATGAAAGTTCTGGAATCATCTACTATGCAAATAGGATTAACTGTCTTGTGTATTGACGTTTTCCAAAAAATTGTAGTAAGAATCTTATGGACATTTAGGCTTTCAGATCAGAATTCACTATTATATATAAACTAAATATCTTAAACTACTATATTATCACTATTTTACATCCGTAATAATATTTAAATTAAAATTCCAAACTAGTATTTAACCCCATTTTTCATCTGTCACTTATTTAGTTCAAAAATATGCATCGTCATGTCATAGACAGTGTATATTTGGTTGCCTATACACAAGGCTCACTTAAATATATTTATTTATAGAATAAAATAAAATAAAGAACTTTTAAAAACTTAATCCTATGCTAAATTTTCAAAAATACCCTCATATAATTTTTATACATTAGACTTTTTAGCTAAGTTGGATTATTAAGTATAACAGAGAGCTAACCTTTTGCTACAGATCTAATAGTTCTATTAGAAGGTATGTTTTAATCACTCATTTTTATTTATTCAGGTTCATATAAACATCAGTCAGAACACGGATACTTCAATCCCACCATCCTTGGAAGACATTCAGTTAGAACTCGGAAACATACAAATTCGATTCGACGGGTTAGGAACTGTGGATTATCTCATTGAATTCGGGGTCAATGTTATTCCAAACCTCTTGAGGTATCAAATAATGGATGCTGTGGAGAAACCCATAAAGTTTAAAATCCAGGAAGCCTTAAATCAAATTACAATCGAGAAGCTGATAAAGCAGAATGCCGAACAGCTGGACACTGGGAATTTCGATAATATGAAATTAATTATATGATACTTGTAACGAAATAAAAATTTATTAAAGTTTGTTGGATAAGTATCTGATTTAAATTTTTAAATTATAATAATAATTTATTCGTAAATAAATTGTATAAAGTTATCCATTTTTGAGTTTAGCTCTTTCTCTAATATTGTAAAAGATGTTTACCAGTAAAAATTCAGTAAATCCTTTTTTTCATTCATCCAAATTAACCATGCAAGTTCATTAGGGGAAAACATTAACAATATCAAAATATCAAATTTAAACATTTTCACAAGCTGAATTTTGCTAAGAATGTAAATTTTGGGACTTCGAAAAATATGCAAAAAAGTTTACTACTTTAACTCCCCAGCTTTCCCCTAAAACCAACCCTTCCCGTAGGAAGGAAAACGAAAATATTCGATTTATCAAGAATCTGTATGTTGCAGAAACAAATATTTCAAATAAAAAGGTAGCTAATATAATTCTGAACAAAAATGTTTATTAGAATTTTTTGTGTAGAATAAACTGTTTGCTCAGAAACAACGATTGAAGTGATCGGCGATTTTATGTCAGTTACGCGCGCGAAATCAATGGTCAATAAAATTTGTATTAGTTCGACAGAAAATGTATAATATCTTTTGATCTGTCTGTCTTATCGACAAAAATCAAGATACGTTTTAAAGATATAGAGTGCAGGTTTTGTATGCAATGTTTGTATTTTGCCGCAAATGATTTCTCGATGTCGATGACGTCGATTTTTGCCATTTTTATGATTCTCATAAAATCAAGCAATGTATCCCTTTCATTGACTGACCACTCTGGAGTTTTTATCAGTGGAACCTAATCTTCAAAACCTATAGCATAAAATTATAGTTTTGATGTTTGGCAACAAATGTAAAGCCTTTCAAATATGCTTAAAAAACGCTGAATTTAAAACGATCTAAAGTTAACACTACTCTTTTTTAATTAGACTAGTATGCTTTTCAAAAGTGTTTAACTTACACCCAAAACCGTGTTCTTGGAGGCATTTTCCGTGACGTGCAATCATTTTTAATGTAAAAGTTAAAATTTTGCCTTTTTAGTCATATTTTAAATGAATCATATTTGTTGCCAAAAACCAAAATATCCAATACTTAACGGAACTCAACGACAAAAATGGCGGAAACAAATATTATAAACATCAAACCCTTTGATGGAAATAATTTCTCCAACTGGTTATTCAGAGTTAAATTGTTACTGGAACAGACTAGTGTCTTAGCTTAACTATCCCAAGATGAACCTGCAGGTGATATCGCTCGAGAAGTATGTAAGAAAAACGATGTGAAAGCCCGGAATCTAATTGTGCAATGTTTGCATGACAATATACTAGAAATGATTAAATCAAATACCTCAGAAAAAGAGATTATAGGTACATTGGAAAATACTTACCAAAAGAAGGGAATTTCGACACAGGCACACTGCAGCAAAAACTAAGGTCATTGAAATACACAACAGGGTCTTTAAACATATCTTTAAAATAATTCAATCAAACTGTGTATAAACTTAAAAGTGCAGGAGGTTAAGTACAAGATAATGAAGTTATATCACAGTTACTCTCTGCAATGCCTGAAGCATATCAAACAGTTACTTTAATTGATATTATATTTTGTCAAGATGAAACTAAAGTTACATTAGACTTTGTTAAAAACATCCATGGAATAAATGAAAGAATAAATAACAAGTACGACAATGTAATGATTTTTGCCCTTTTTATGATTCTTATGAAATCAAGCAATGATTGTATAATATAAAGTATATCCAACGGATATACTAAAGTTGATAGACGAAGATCGAATCCATTTGTTAGTAGACTTATTTAACAAGATTTATGAAAACAGTATAATTCCTGAAGAATCGCTAAGATCAACCGTTGTCCCTCTTCCCAAGAAGGCATATGCTAAGCAGTGCAGTGATCATCGCACGATCAGTCTGATGAGCCATAACTTAAAAATATTTCTCAAAATAATTCACAAAGATATCGGAGAAACTCAGTTTGGATTCCGAAAGGGATATGGAACTCACGAAGCAGTATTTTCCTTTAACATCTTGACACAGAGGTGTTTGGATGTGAATCAAGACGTACTTGCTTGTTTTATTGATTACAACAAGGCGTTTGATAATGTCAGGCATGACCAACTTTTAGATATCTTAAAAGCTAAACAGTTAGACACCCGCGATATAAGAATAATATCTACTCTGTATTATAATCAGAAGGCAGTTGCACGCATCGAAAATAGCCCAACAAAAGAAATTCAAATTAAAAAAGGAGTTAGACAAGGATCGCGTCCAACCGCGTCCCACTGGTTCATAGAAAACTATCCTACAGATATGTAGGATAGGTGTGAATAAGGTTTTACCAAATAAGCACCCGTGGACCAACTGAGGACATGGCATAGCGCAGTAGTTATGACATTACTTCATTAAGGCTATAGCGGAATGATTTCTACTGTTGGCTTAATGATAGATACTCACGGGCGGATATCACATAATGATTTAATATATCGAATCAGTAAGATATGCTTAGCGATCCGATTAGCGATCGGCGCTCAGTTGGTTCCGGGCCAACTAGTGTTAAATGGGCTACCGGGCATGTGTTTGTGAGTAACCAGGCAACACATGCGAAATTGGCGCCTGGAAGAAAATGAGATATGCAGGCAAACTGCATATAATACAAAGAGAAGTTGAAAGAGAGGATATAGAAATATGTGAACTTTCGGAGACCCATTAGAAAGGACAAGGACACTTCCGAACGGCAGAACATGTTGTATACATATCGGGAGCAAATAACACAGAAAGAAATAGTGTTGCAATTATGGTGACTAAAAAAGTGTCACAATACGTGTATGATTAAAAACCGATAAATGATAGACTAATAAAAATAACCTTACTAGCATCACCAAACAAAATACACATTCCTCAGGTCTACATGCTAACCTCAGACGCGTTAGACAATGAAGTGAAAGACGTATACTCCGTTATTGAAGACACAATAAGAAATATTCCATCTAAAGAACCACTCATAATCATGGGCGATTTTAACGCTAAGGTAGGAGAAACAAGAAATGATAACGTCCAAAATGTAGGAAACTATGGGTTAGGTGTTAGAAACCGACGAGGCGAACGTTTAATAGACTATGCAACCGAAAACAGTTTGGCCATTGTAAACACAATGTTCAAACATCATGCTCGTCGTTTATCGACGTGGACCAGCGCAAATGGACAATACAAGAACCAAATCGACTACATATTGATTAAAAACAGATGGAAGATATGTTTTACAAACGTAAAAACTAGACCAAGAGCTAAATGTGGATCCGATCATAAATTGTTATGGGCGTGCTTCAAGATCAAGCTAAAAAAACAATGCCGCAACAAAATCAAAACACGCTGGAGATTTCAAATCCGAAAACATTTAGAGGTGCATTAAAGGAAACTAGTATGTTGAACACACAAGACAACCCAGAAGAAATGTGGAAAGGTTTCAGAAATGCCATAGAAACCTCTGTAGAAAGTACCAGAACCTACAAAAATATGATCAAAAGAAAACACTGGATGACACAGAACGCTGCAACTTCTCGAAGAGCGAAGGAGAATCAAATCTCTCATATATCAAAACGACAACAACAAAAACGAACTAGCAAGGTTAAATAGAGAAATTAAAAGAACATGTAGGGATAATAAAAATAAACATATAAATGAAGAATGCGAAGAACTAGAGAGACATGCAAACCGGTATGAATCCCATCAGCTATATAACAAAGTCTGATATTTACCCAGGGAATTTAAAACAATCACACAAACAATAATGGATCAAAACCAACATATTATAAATGACGAGAAAGGGATTGCGGAGGTATGGAGAAAAAATTGTCAAAGTGTATATGCAAATGATCCCCAGAGTGCAAATCACGATGAGTTCACTGCAAAGAGAGAACCAAACATTCTTAAGTCAGAGGTAGAAAAAGCAATCAACAAGTTGAAAAATAGAAAATCTTCTGGCGCAGACAAGATCACCGCAGAAGTTTTAAAAGAGACTGGAGATGTAGGAGTAAATGTTATGCGTATGATCTGAAAAAAGATTTGGGAAACCGGAGAGGTTCCCAACGACTGGACAACATCTACTTTCATCCCTATATTCAAAAAAGGAACTCCGCTAGATTGCAGCAACTATAGAACGGTAACCCTAATATCATATCACATGCAAGCAAGGTTCTACTTCATATAATACATGAAAGATTAAAAGCTTTTCTATTGCCTCAGATATCAGAAGAACAAGCGGGATTTGTCCCAAGAAAGGGCACAAGAGAATACATCCTTAATGTCAGACAGCTAATCAAAAAAAAACTCGTGAGTTCAATACTCCTATGCTTATGTGCTTTGTGGATTACACAAAGGCCTTCGATAAAGTCAAATGACAGCAGCTATGGTCCATACTAGCGGAAATGGGAACACCCCACCACTTAATGCAACTAATTAGAAGTCTATATGAAAGTAATAAGTGCACATTAAAAATAAACAACACCCATTCCGATTATTTCAGAACAGAGGCAGGTGTCAGGCAGGGATGCATAATCTCGCCAACTCTGTTTAATATCTACAGCGAACACATTATGCGAAAGGTACTAGACGGATGGAAGGGCGGAATATTAGTAGGAGGTCAAAAAATCAATAACTTGAGATATGCTGATGATACTTTAATAATCGCGGCAAATCAGAAAGAAACAGAAGACATAATGAGATGTTTGGAGGAAAAAAGCAAAACATACGGACTAAAGCTAAATGGGAGTAAGACAAAGATCAAGATAGTAGACAGAGCTCGGAATAATCTTCAACACATTAAAGAAATTGGGAGCTTTAAAGTAGTAAATACTTTCATATACCTGGGGTCCCTAATAACAAATGACGGAGGGTGTGACAGAGAAATACGTAGAAGATTGACTATTGCTAGCACTAATAAACTATGAAACTGATAGCGATTTGGAAAAATTCTAGCACAACAAAACACACAAAATTAAGGCTGGTAAAGGGCGCTCATTTTTTCCATAGCCACATATGCATCAGAAACGTGGACCTTAAAGAAAGCGGATAAAAATAAACTGGACGATTTTGAAATTTGGGTATACCGCCGCATGTTGAGAATATCCTTTATTGATTATCGCAGT